CTGCTTTCTCCTCCAAATAGGCATTTTCAAATAGTCTATCTTTGAATTCACTGATTCTTTCTTTGGTTTGGTATATCTTACTATTGATACCGTCTATAGTATTTTGAATTTTGCTGAGTATATATTTCAGCTCAAATATTTCCTATGGATTTTTAAATTTTTTTCTTTTTTTAACTAAGTTCTTCTGTTGTCTGCATTGCTTAATATCCTGTCCTACTCTTCACAAATATTGTTTTACTCCACGCTATGCTGAGGTCCAGGTACTATTGCTGAAAGCAATACCTTGGCCACCAAGGCTGAGGTGCACCCAAGTCTCATAGCTTCAAAAAATTGCAAATTCTCAGGGTTGTATACAGGCCCACAGTGCAGCTGGCAGTAATCCACACTGAAACTCAGGTTCATCCTACTGGCATACAAATCTCCCGATGCCTGGGCAGGTGGGTGTAGATGCTCCCTCTGTGAATACTGGCCTGGGGATAACCGTGCTGCACAAGGTTGGGATATACATAGTGGAGATAATAGTTTCTTGACCACAAAGGATGACAGCAGGCTGTGTTGTACATGACTTTGACAGCTTCAAGAACCTGCACAATCTTAGAGTAGGGAGTGACCCAAGCCCATTCCAAGACAAAGTGTGTATTCTAGCTTTCATTCCCTGCATTCAATAGGTAGTAGTCTTATTCCCATCTTCTACCTGAGGTGAGAGGAGGGGTGGTGGAGTAGTCCCTTGGCTACCTGGATACCACTGTTCCTGTGTCTCACCCATGGGTTCTGGCCCACCTTCATGGATTATGGGTTTCTTCCAGGTCCCTGGGTTTCACCATGGCAGGTGGGTACTGGGTTTCAAGTCTAAGCCCTTGATTCAATTCCTTCTTCGTCTCTCAAGTGGGCTGTATCTCTCTAGGCTGCTTGGAGTACGGGAATGGGTGATGCAGGCACTGTTTTTCTTCTTAACTTCTTTAATTTGTCTTTTTAAATTAATATTATTATAAAACCAGGTACTATGGTCTCTCATCTGGTTTCCTTAGCTTTGTGAAGATTGTTTGTAGGTAAATGCCTGTTGAAATTGGTGTTAGTGAAGAGCCGTTGCTGGAGGATCTTCAGCCCCATCTTTGGTATTTTCTTTTGTTTACTCAAGGATATAACTTTGTATTTAAGACTGAATGCATACCAATTTCCATGAATAATCTTTGAAGAATAGAACTTTTGTCATTAGGTATAGTTCATTCTTATCTCTGATAAGGATCTGGAGAGTATATATTTCATTGTAAAAATAAGTGTTCAAAGAATAAGATATGATAAGAAATGAGTAATGTGTTATCTTTGTTAGATTTCATCATTTAATACTCAACAAATGTTGATGGATTACCTACTATATACTAGGTCCTCTAATAGTATTAGGGATAGATCTCTTGAATAGAGATACAAACTTATTGCCTTCAGAAAACTTACATGTAAGTATATGAAGACATAGCTGTAATTAACATCATATGTAGGATTACCAAGTATTCAGATGAAAATAATGAGAAGAAATTATTAATATATGGGAGGGGATGGATTATATATGGAGAGAAGAAATATTGGAATTGTCAGTTATACCGAGATTTAAAGTTATTCTAACATATACTCAATTTTGAGTATTAATTTTCCTTCCCTTCATTAATTTTATGCAGGATCACTTGTATGAAACTACTAAAATGGTATCCTTGACAAA